GACGAAGAGGTAAAAATGGAGTAAATAAAAATCAGAAGAAATATCAACAGTTTTCTAAAAGGACACGTGTCAGGATTTTTACAATCTCGCCGCTTGGCAAAACCTTTCGCATTTCCCCCTTAGAAGCAGAAACCCTAATGGGCCAGAATATTAAAATATTTCTGAGGAAGCACCGCGCGACAAATCCACTTAAAATCGGGCCGAGCTGGCCATCACAAAACGACGCTCTCGACGAGCTGACAGCTATTGCGAAGCCAAACTCATCTCTAACTTCATGAAGTCCGCCGACCTGATTTACAATCAGTTTCGCCGAACTGGAGGGGGGGACTTACTGTTAGAGGGGAAATAAGCACATTTCCTAAAGGGCATTCCCCCGCAATAACCTAAGCCCATCAAAACCAGAAAGATCAGAAACATCGGATTAATTCAAAGGATAAAAGAGAATTTCCTTATTCCTCGGAGAATAAAGGATATTATATGGAGATATACACAAAGACAAAAAAAAAAGGAGTTCAGAGCAACCGACCTCCCATCCTTATAAATAAAGAGGATCTCGAAGCCAAGATGATCATCCAATACATTCTAGAGAGCAACAGAGCTAAAACCAGAGACTCTAACGGTTTCTAGTTTACTTCACAAACACATTTTTCACTTCGGCATAATCTCACGGTTATCCCTTTTTTTGTAATCGCTTCGCTTATTACTATTAATAAAAAAACCTTATTCTCTAAAACCCACAACTGTTAATCAAACTCTAGTGGTGATATTCTGGTTCAACAGTTTAGAAATATAGTCTTAAAGTATTTTGTTCAAACAATGTATCACGCTATACATTGATTTATTTTGGAAATAAGAAATGGTCAATACAGCTTTTGCTTTGGATCAAAAATAATGACAGTGGTTCAACCTAATTGTTTGATACAAATGGCACCAGATAGACCAAAGGAAGCACCAAGTATAGAATGTTGTTAAGTACGTGACTTTATTATCATATGAGAAAATACACAAAGCGAAAACACAGAATATGATTTTATACTATAAACATCGTCTCATCGTCACGATGAGATCAAATAGTGCACACGAAATATAAGTTGACCATACGAATTTCTATAGAACTTCTCACTCTTGATTAAAAGTGTTCTTTTATAAAAATAAAAGATATCAAACGCTGTTTGGATCATTGCCTATGAACTAAGCATGAATCGTTCGTTATAAACGGTACTATGTGTTATTCTAATTTCCATCTCTTATGATCAATATATATATACAGAGGATTGCAAAATGTGAATAAAAGAAAAAGAATTTTTTAGTATCTATCATCATTATAGACAAATCAAGAAATTGAGTAGAAGAAATAACACATACCTTGAAAAATTCAAGAGAATAAATCTGAAAAAGCCTTCCTTCTTTTTCTCACAAGGATTCTGAGTTTTCGCAGAGAATATGAAACGAGACAAGAAATGCCACCCTTGACCCTTCGTTTCCAATATTCAATAAATATGTATGTAATTTTCAAATAATATTCTTACCATTTAAAAAGATTAGGAAAGTGCATTAATTGACCAATTCGTAGACATAATAATTAAAAATAGTTCACATTGCATACTAATTAAAGAGGAACATGGGATACATGAACCACATGTTGGCCTGTTTAATGCTCCGTAGAGTGAGAGACCAGTGGAATCTGGTTTCAGTAGCAGAATTATCCGTTAATAAAATGGTTAATTAGAGTTTAAAGCCCAGACCGACTTTAACCAAAAAAGCATGAAAAACTCTCAAACCATCTAAGTGAGCGAATCGTAAATCTCCATTTTTGATAGTTGTTGTTGGGTCTATATTTACCACAACTAATATCGAGATGATATGTGCACACCAAATCTCACTGGAATGTTAACTTTTCTCTATTAGGTCTGCCATCAATTTTTTAGTAGACCATTCCCAAATAGGTCATGTGTTTAATAAGTCAGGTATACTGTATTAACTGGTCTGCTCCCACAGCGCACTGTATAGATGAGACAAGACGAGTGAGAAGAAGTATAAAAAGAGGTCAAAAGTCAAAGGAGAAGAAAGGCTGAATTCATGATTTGAGACCCAATTTTGGATCCAAGAAAGGATGATCACCACACATCAGAAGATTAGGAGGAGGAGAAGAAAACCTTTGATCTCTACCTCGCCGGAGCTCACTTCGAGTCCCACGATATAGCGAAACCGAAGGGAAACGCCCACTATTCCCCAGAGGAGACGCCTACGAAGATAAGCGTTTTTCTCACTTCGATCTTCTACTTTATACCCGTGCAGAGAAATCTCCTACCCCACTCTTCTCACGGTACATCTCTTGTACACCATCTTTCACCAAACAACAGACAAGTATCACGATCTTCGGACGAGATACTCAACCCATAAACAACCTTAAAACCTACCTTCCCAAATATTTGTTCCCAGTAGGACGTGCACTAACTTGAGTGTCAGTGAATCTTCAAGAGGGAAACCCCTTTTCAGACCACCTAGAGGTTCGGCTCACTCGTTCGCCCATGTTCGCAAGACCCATCCGACTTCCACCCCGGAGCCGCATGTTGCTCATCCCCCAGAGGACGAAACCTGGAGACACAACTCCTCATATCCGGACAAACACATACCTCTCGTACACATCCCATAATTTATGTTCGAACAGTTGGCGTTGGAAGGGGGGGGGGGGGGGGGGGGGGGGGGAGAAACGACATGAAACACCACAAAGGAAGTAGTCATTGCTTTGCCAAGCAACCAATCGCTGAAGAAACCCTGAGTTCGCGGTAGCTAAAGACGACAATAGTCATCCTGGGGCGCTGTATGGCGGAAGGTAAAAGACACATCAGAGCGGGGAGGAGACCTCTTGTAACGCTCCTGGACCGGCCTAAGGTCAGACTTGAGACGATCAGCCGCATAACAATCAAACAGGAACATGCACGGCCAACCATCCAACCCAAACCAGACTAAAGATGCTACAATATATACCCAAACGCCTAGTCCGAGGTTTCCAGAACAAATCCATAGACCCTAGACCAAACATCCGAGCATACTTACCTATTGAACATGACTCAAGGCTTTTAAACCCGAGGCATATCCAATAGTTAATTCGTCCCAGACAAGGACTAGTGCCATATAAAAGCTCAAGTAATTTCACAAACATCTCGTATTCATATAATACTTAGATTCAAAGGGTAACCACAAACTAAATATATATCCGGCCGGGAGCTCAGCGCCCAAAATCTTATTATATATAGTAAACACATACTTGTTCTTACAAAAGGCAGCAAACTACACCAGCTTCTCCAAAACTCCATTAATCCATATGGTTTCCCACGATTGGTTACCTACAAAACAAGTCCAGTCGTGAGCAACTACTTTGCTCAGTGAGTTTAGATCCCCTCGATACGAATAATCAATCTCCATAAACCCCAAAATAATAAGCAGCACTCAATCACACAAACATAATATCATCAGATGTAACAAAAGCTATACTATATGCATAAATACTATGAGATGCATAATAATATTCAATTATACTATAAGATGCATAGTAATATTCAATTATACTTTACTTATCTTGCCATGGCATTTCCGCACATTTGACATCACCCATCCATAGTCACATATTTTCTATTCTGACAATAGTTATAGAGGCTAAATGGCCAGAATGTCATGACTCAAAACTGCATTGTCATGCACTGCACGGCCTCATGCTGCAATCCTGTACATTCGTGCCTTTGTAACTTTCCTATCACAGGCCAAGCTACGGTCACTGATGGGATGTCAAATGGCCTCACACATCTCATATTCAACTCATGCATAAACAATAACTTGCGTAAACCTGCTAGATACTATAGCATACATGCATATAATATCACAACCTCAGTGATATAACTAGGTGCTAATGCACATGACACATTATAAAAAATCAAGCAAAGTAAATACTCAAACTTGCTTTGCAGTAAAACAACAAGAAATCCATACTGAGACTCATCTTGGCCTTCCGAAAGACAGGAAACGAAAGATTAGAATTTTGGCAGCAATTCGACCTCATACTTAAAACTATAGTTTCATAGTGATTAATCCATAATCACAAGAAATAGAGGTCAGAATTGGACTCAGGACGAAAAAATAAGCTAGACAAGAAACTTCAGGCTAAAACGACTTACCTTAACTTTTTCTGAACTAGCTTCGCAGTGGTCCTGCGGTGGCGCTCTTGAGGTCAGTGGTCGGATATTTTTTTAGGTATTTAAGGTCGTGATAAAGTTGTGAAGAATGGAGCTTCTTCTTATATAGTCGATCTCATGCCCTGGATGAGTCATCATCTCGCCACCAATCGTCGCTGGACTCCACCATGTGTCGGCACTGAAGATAATTTGGTGGCAGTTGCTGGCCACCCAAGCTGGTGATGCAGGTAAAACAGGTGAAACAGGACAAGCCTCATAAGCAGGTGAAGAACCTCAAGTAGGACAGATAAGTATCTTAGTCACCGATAAGCTTTTCACGTCCATTCCGATAAATCACCCGATCTCACCGAGATGTCCCACCGAGAACATTGTTTGGTCATATTGAGAAACTCTTGGACTAAAATTAATTCTTAATCATTCTAAATCACTTAGAATTCCACACTCAGGAACTCCCTAAACAACACTCAACTTCCCCGATCACTTAGAACGAGCCAAAACTGCCTCGAAAATAATAATCTATCTTAAACTGAGTCTTTCTAGAAAAACTTACTTTCTTTTGCCTAAGGGGCTTCTCATAAGTTCTACTTAGCGTTCTAAGAATGAAGACACATGTTTACCTCTTTGGCAAAGCTTCAATCGTCTTTCACCGCACTAGCCGATCTGGTCGCGTCATGGTCCTTCTTACGAGTTATTACATTCACCGCACTTATAACAACTTCTATGATTTCTACCTCTCGCCAATCCTTGTGACTGATTTCCCGTTCACGGTTCCTTTGGTTCTTGTTCATTCGTCTTTTGGACTTGATTTTATTGGGATGTGTACACTCGTTCAGCATATATTCCATCCTTTACATTGATTGTCTGTTCCACCAATTGATTAAAGTCATTGAACTCAACTGCTTGTAGTATATTCCCAATATTTGGTCGTATGACCGCAGGTTCATCATCATGCCCGTAGCATGCATACCTCTGTAATCTAGTGAAGTTAACTTCATAGTCCCTAACACATTATTCTCCTTGCTTAATTTCTTAGAATTGTGTTTCCAACCGATCCCTGGCTTCAGGTGGAAAGAATTTTTGCCGAAACTCCCTTATAAAGTCCATTCAAGTTGGGGCCTCATCTTGGTACCACCTTGCTACTTTGCTGGCATCATCATCCAGATAAAATACTGCTATATCCTTCTTGAGATCATCAGGACATCTTGTCGCATTGAAATTTTTCTCTAACCTTTGTAACCATTTATCTGCTTCAAGTGGATTATTTCCGCCTTGGTAATGCCCGTTTCCTAATGTGTTCATCATTGTAACTCTCTAAATATAACTAGGGGGAGATGATGGTCGTTGAGGTGTATCAGTTACTCTTTGCAGTCTCTAGTCTATACATTCAAGTACTTCTTGTGGCATACGACCCAATCGATCAAGTAAACCTCGTACTAGGTGCATTATAATATCAGCACCTCGTGGTGGATTTGATGATGGCTCCCAATGATTATTTTCTTGTCTTGCTCTACTTCTTTGTGGTTCTTCTCTTCTTTTATGATAATTTTCTGCTGTCTCTCTCTGTCTTAAATCATAGTTTCTAAGAGCTTCTTGTTCAAACTGGTCATCCCTTGGTTCTTCAGGCATACTATCTGTCCATAACTCGTCTTCTGGTGAATCAGTAGTACATGCATGTCCATTTATCTCTCGTAATATCATGTCATCTCGTCCCTCATCATATGATCCTTCTGATCTGACCATACTTCGTCTTCGTAATCCGGATTCTAAGGTGGAATAAGATGGGATTACTGTTTCCAATCCTCGCATAGTACCCTCGGTCGGGTCCGAATTTCCAATCATACCATAATGACCATAACTCTGTTCATACTCTGATTCATGATGACTACCTTCCCCACGAACCATCAGACCCCCAAGTCCTCCTCCTCTCATCTCCTTCGGCCTTCTGGAATAGATTGGATGTATACACATCTGCATCTAATAAAGGTAAAACTTAATACCATCTACCTAAATGAAGGAGCTGGCTGGTTTCCTAAATGCCTTCTGCGACTGATTTACTCGATAAAATATTTGAAAACGAGTCCCATATGAGCATGATAGAACCATACTCTGATACCACCTCTTGTAACCCCTTAGTCCGGCCTAAGGTCAGACTTAAGATGATCAGCTGCACAAGAATCAAACAAGAACATGCACAACCAACCATCCAAGCCAAACCAGACCAAAGATGCTACAATGTGTACCAAACGCCAATTCCGAGGTTTCCAGAACAAATCCAGAGACCATAGACCAAACATCCGAGCACACTTACCTATTGAAGATGACTCAAGGCACATCCAATAGTTAGTTCGTCTCGGATAAGGACTAGTACCACATGAAAGCTGAAGTATTTTCATAAACATATCTTATTCATATGATACTTAGGTTCTAAGTGTAACTACAAACTATATATATATATCCGGCCAGGAGCTCAGCGCCCAAAACCTTATTATACATAATAAACACAAACTTGTTCTTACAAAAGGTAGCAAACTACACCAGCTTGTCCTAAGCTCCCTCTGCCCGTATGGTTTCACACTATTGGTTACCTGCAAAACAAGTCGAGTTGTGAGGAACTACTTTGCTCAGTGAGATCGGATCCCCCTATTCAAATAATCAATCTCCATAGACCCCAAAATAACAAGCAGCACTCAATGACACAAACACAATATCATTATATGCAACATAAGCTGTATCATATGCATAAATACTATAAGATGCATAGTCATATTCAATTATACTTAACTTATCTTGCCATGGAATTTCTGCACATTTGACATCACCCATCCACAGTCACATACTGTCCATTTTGACAATAGCCACGTAGGCTAAATGGCCAGAATGTCATGACTTAAAACTGCATCATCATGCAGTGCACGGCCTCATACTGCAATCTCGTACATCCGTACCTTTGTAACTTGCCTATCACAGGCCAAGCCATGGTCACCGATGGGATGTCAAATGGCCTCACACATCTCATATTCAATTCATGCATAAAGAATAACATACGCAAACCTGCTAGATCCAGTTGCATGCATGCGTATAATATCACAACCTTAGTAATATTACTAGGTGCTAATGCACATGCTACATAATAAAAAAATCAATCAAAGTAAACACTCAAACTTGCTTTGCAGTAAAACAACAAGAAACCCATACCAAGACTCACCTTGGCCTTTCGAAAGATAGGAAACGAAAGCCTAGAATTTTGGCAACAATTCGACCCCTTACTTAAAACTATGTATTCATAGTGATTGATCGATAATCACAAGAAAGAGAGGTCAGGATTGTTTTCAGGTCGAAAAAATAAGATAGAGAAAAAAATTCGGGCTAAAACGACTTACCTTAACTTTTTATGAACAAGCGTCGCAATGGTCCAAAAGCGGTCAGGTGGTCGGATTTTTTTTAGGTCTTTAAGGTCGTGATGAAGTTGTGAAGAATGTAGCTTCTTATTATATAGTCAAGCTTATGCCCTGGATGAGTCATCATCCTGCCACCAATCGTCGTTGGACTCCGCCATATATTGGTGCTGGAGAAATCTTGGTGCCAATTTCTGGCCACCCAAGCTGATGATGTAGGTTAAGCAGGTGAAGTAGGACGAGCCAGGCTTGGGGCATCTTCCCCCGGAGATGGGCTTGGTTGCCAGGCTTGGGGGCATCTTCCCCCGGAGCAACACCGCCATGAGGATGTACACCTCGAGGGCCTTAGGCAAAGCAAAACCAGTCCTCGACTGCATCCAAAGCTCCACCCAGCCGAGAGCGTCTGCGCCAAGATGCGCACCTGCCATTCAAAGCAACGATCCCCGCCATCACAGGAAAGAGCGTGCTGGGGCCGAATGCTCGTTCCCTACATATAAGGTAGATAATGTGAGCAAGCGAGTCTCGGTGGATCGGCACCGTAATCTCGAGACAAAGGCCTAGCTCTGTCACCGTCCTGATCATCGCAACACCATCCCACGTCCTGCTCCCGCCGAAGGTGGGTGAGCTTGGCCTGGTTATCCGTCAACACCTGATATATCATAGTTTTTATGGTTTTTAACCATGACATAAGTCCTTTTTATTGAGTCTTTTTGGTCTTTTTAGAGTCCTAGTAGAGTCTTTCCAGGTTATAGCATGTTTGGAGCATAATTGGGTGTTTTGGAGCTTTTTGGAGCATTGCAAGAATCAACCACTAAGTTAGCAACTCGGAGGCATCATATGGCTTTGGTGACGATCGTCACCACTCAAGGGTGACGCTCGTCACCCGCATCTGAAGAGGAGTCGCGACTGGTTTTAAAAGATGGAGGATTAATTGCACTTCTGCCCCAGAAGTTTCACTAATTATAAAAGTGTTCCAGCTTGTGTTTTAGCTTGTATATATTAGGTTTTCAGCCATTGTTGGCTTTTATCTTAGATTTTAGAATTCAGAGATCTTGAGAAAGAGATTTATTCAGAGCTTTTGGGGAGACATATTCTGTATCCTTATTGAGATGATTTCAAACCCCTTTAAATTTTATTATATTCTTTTAATGCAGTTTTATTCAGCTATGCTTTGTGTCTTCATGATCATGTCTGAGTAATCTGTTAGTTAAGTTAGGGCTTTTCAAAGGTTGATGAAGAGTTTGTAGAATCGCTAAACTGTTAGGAATATCTTTTGGTTCTTCATCTGTGCTTGCATTCAAACCGATTTCTTTGACTAGTCATCTGAAAATTTGAAATACCCTAGGTTGTTTAATAGATGTGAGAACATTGTTAATCACCTGAACTAGTATTAGAAAACCGATTCAAAAGAGTTTCAGAAAGCCGATTCAAAAGACAAACTATTTGTTTGGGTTTTTATGAAGTTTATAAAATTCGAGCAAAATAATTCAGCAGAAGAACAATAAAACAGTTTTTATGATTTTTTTTTTGATTTATATGAAATTAAATTTAAAAACTGAATGAAAACAAATAGCAAAAACTTGAAAGAGGAATATAAAACACCTGGGATAGGATTTTTTAGCTCTGATACCAATGATACAATACTTGAAATGCTCTAAGTAATGTCCCTTTGAAATCAAATGCTTAGAAGCTTTTTGATGGCTGAATGACTTGAATGGTTGAAAAGTCAGTTAATGCTTGAACTCCAAACACCAAGAGTTTAGAATCTTCTTTCTCAAGGACTAATCCACGCAAGAGAGAGGAGCTTCTACACAATCTTTCAAGGCTGATTCCACAACACTTAGAAGGAAAGCATGAACAAGTTTAGTTGCAAAGAACTTTCTTTGTAAACAAAACAAATGAGGTTTAATTTCTTTAATAATTCTTGGTAACTATGAAAGTACAAAGGCTGGAGCTTATATAATGCTCAAAATAATATAGGTCATAAGATATTAAAACAAAGGCTGAAAGTATGGTGTGATGAAAGAATAGCCATTTTGCTTAATAGAGGGAATTTGCTTTATTTGTGAGATGGCTTGATCTGGGGGACGAAATGGTGTGATCTTTGACTCTTCTGACTTGTATGGACGTCCAGGATGTGTTGACTTGAATGTAGTGTCAAGATCTTCAAGTATATGAAAGAGCTGGTCATGGTTTCCTTTAGAAGCAAAGTTAATGAATTCAGAAAAGGAAACCTTCTTGATGTTGGTATTTTATTTGGTTTGAAACGATTTGGCTTGGTTATTGGCTTGGTCTGGTGGTTTGAATCCTTTGGGTATCTTCTGTGGACGTCAGGAAAAGCAAATGATAAGAGCTGATATAAGATATGCTCAGGGTTTCCTTGTACAGCTCCAATAATGCTCCATTTGCTTGATTTGGCAGTTTGAGTAGATTTGATGGTTCTTCTTTGGTTTGCATAGAGAGGCTCAGGTTATTGACTTCTATATCTTCTTTGGTCATACCATAATGTATATATGGGACGGTGATGAATGATTTCTCCTTAGCTTCCTTATATGGACCATTAAATGTGAATGTAGGTCCATAACTTGGTTCTGGCGGTTTAGCTCCAATGTCTTGAGTTTTAATCTGAACCAGCTCTGATTAACTCGACCAGGAAGCTCTCCTTTGTGCATAGGAAGGTATTTGATTGATCTTGAAACTTTATCTCCTTTGCTTTCAGCTACAAGCTTCCCTTGATCTTCAGCTACAAGCAAGCTTAACTCCAAATTTGTAAGTCAATGCTCTCGAGCGCCTAAAGGGGTTTGTTTGCTACTGATGCTTACATCAAAAGACCATGAAAGGGTCAATCAAAAGTAGATATCAAACCCAAGTCAATCCACCAAAGGTGAAGAATGGCTCCTAATCAACAAGAAGGAGCAAGCCCCAATAAAAAGAAGCAACCACACAAGCAAAAAAAAGAAGTATCCCCAACTATAAAGAAGAAGAAGAGTTTGAGTTTAGGAAAAGGGTAGACTTAGGATTTCACTTTGGGGTCTAGAAGATAATAGGATCATTTGGGTAAAAGGATAGAAGAGAGCTTTGACTTGCATGCATAGGTGTGCTTTTACCTTTAACATTTTGCCTAAGATAGAGTCATTTCACTGAGTGATCTGTTATGTCTTTAATCCATATCTGAATGAGATCATTTTCATCTCATGACCTTGTCCCTTCAACCAAATGTGTTCACTTGATTTGCATGAACTTGATCCATTGGTTACCTTTAATGAATGTTAAAGAGTTGGCTGATTTGAATGCTTGTGTAGGCTAAGCTACAGTATACTGTTTGGTATGATATGTATGGCTAAGGCTTTTGAAGTAGAACAATCTCTTTGCATCTTAGAACCTATAACTTGAGCATTAATTCAATTTTTCCATTGACATCTTTAATTTTGAGCTCCAACTTTGAAACCTCACTCTCCCATATGTTCTTATTTGCTTGAGGACAAGCAAAAAGCAAGTGTGGGGTGT